TTTATTTTCCGTCCTGTTTGACCTATATAACTATGCTGGCATTTGCAAGTTAGTTTATACACTCCTTGTTTATCCAATGGGTCTTCTCGATTTGTGGTGTTCCGTAGTATCCGTCCTACGTTGTTATTTGTTTTGAATGATGTGCGAAGGGTGTGTTTCTGGAACGGCTTTGCTAGTTTGTACGTTGGAAAATTATCGGAAATTCGTTCCAAAATAAATCATATTACAATGTTTCCACCGGACAACGCCAATGCTAGATAGTAACATTAAACAAATCTTCCTTATACCTATATTTTTATCTATGTAGGTTCTCAACTAAGAGCTTCGGCAGAGGTTGAATACATGTCCTCTGACAGTGACGACGACGACGTACTTTTGTCTTCATTGGCTAAAAGGAGTCGAACCACCGAAAAACCCCTCACTGAAAACCTGAGCCTTATGTGTTATTTCACATTCAAATTCAGGTCTAGCCAACCAGGGCATATTTTGGTTTGTAAGTGGAATGACAATAGCGTGGTGACAGTGGTATCAAATTCTGAAACCATAGAACCTTTTCATAAAGTGAAACGATTTTCAAAGCAGCAGAAGAAATACGTATATACTGATTTATCAGCTAGCGATTATAAAAAGTTACAACCAAAACATGGGTGGGGTCGATAGGTTCGATCAAAACATCGGTCTTTATCGTCTATTCGTGGCAAGAAAGGGTTTTTTTTTTCATTATTTTCTCACTGCTTGAACATGGCTATTCACAATGCATGCAAAAAGTAATGGAAGATAGTACGATCATCTCTTATTCTGGAGAACTGTCGCCAGAGGTATCTTGGAAACACATAAAAATAGTGAGAATCGCAGTCCTTGCCCCACTCCTAGAACTCATAGGGAAACTTCACGTTACGGCAAGATTGATAATCTAATAGAGTAAGTTAAGGCATGATACCGAAACCTAATATAGCAACAGCATTTCGTTGCACATACCTCACATACCCTACCGCTTTTTCTGTCGGCCCAGTGCTGACATCTAAGCTCAGTCGATGCAGCCTGACAACAGACTAGTATGATGTGATCACTTGCCTACAAAAACCCCATTGCCAACAGCCCCAATATGCTCGCCACTTGCCTAACAAAATTCATTGTGATATTGTTGCCTTTTATAATAACAACAAATTATCACAGCATAGCAACATCAATGCTCGAGTTTGATATGCAGCCCAACACCAACAAACATGATGATCACTACCTGCGCTTACCTTAGCGACAGCATGCTGGGCAGGCAGCGCAAATAGAAAGACTCTCGCCTGGCCTCACAAAACAACCCACTGTATAACAACAAACAGTGATCACTGCTTGCGCTTGGCTTGGCAACAGCATGTTAGGCAGGCAGACCAAAACACAACAATTGTTGTCTGGCCCAACTAACCACTCACTGCATAGCAACACTACATGCGTGAGCTTAGCATGCAGATCAACTGCATGACAACAGCTCGATCAATGCTTGCGCCTGCCCTAGCAGCGTCGTGTTGGGTAGGTAGCCCAAAATGACAACAGTGCTTGCCTGCTTTAGTGAACCACCCATTGCATAGCAACGCATGGTTGACATGCTTGGTAGGCAGGCCAGCGGTACCACTTGTCATGCCATGATATCATGATAGCGGTAGAATCCAAGCGACCTTTTCGCGCAACAATACTTACAGGTGATTACCACTGATCGCGAGGGTATAAAAGGCGGTATCATTGCCTGTTGAGGGGAGTTCTTGTGATGTTAAGGAGTTGCAAAGTCAACTTAAATTATAATTAAAAAGTTAATAAAGTGTTTAATTCAAACAAAGTGTTGAGTATTTTATTTTATAAGCAATATGACTTGCTTAACTAGTACAATGACTCTCAGCTTCTACGATGTTGGCTTTAGAAAATAAATACAAATTTCTTTATGATCCAATGATCGGATTTAACCTTCTCCTTTTTGTGAAGTCGGTTAATAAACAAGTAATTTTTAAGCAAAAAACAAAACCGACTTCAAATCTCATATAAAAATTAATTAATAATTCTTAATTCTTTAATTCTTTATGATCCAATAATCGGATCTAAACCAGATTACTATGGGTCCACCTCTGAGGCACTACCTTTCTGGTGCAAACGGAGTTGACGTGTTCGAAAGTTATGCGGTAACATACTTAAAAATAAATAAAAAATTAAATAATAATATTCCGACGAATTGATAACCTCTTTTTTTAGAAGTCGGTTAAAAATAAAATGAAATAAAAATGAAGTGAAATAAACATTTTTCATTTTGTGTAAATAGGATACGATCGGCTAACTTGTACTTGTATGAGCAGTTACCTACCCGCTTATTACTACTGATCGTTATAACGATCCTCATTTTCCAAGCTTTCCGGAAAACGCAGATCTTTTTTACTATTTTTCCTGGTTTCCTACATGCATTATGGTTGTAATATCAAAAAATCACGTTGATATGAGACAAAAAATAGTTTCAGTAACAACCGGGTGAACCTGCTGCAGTAGCCAGAGCGAAGTTGGGCTATTGTTGTTCTTGTCTCCCGAGGCAGATGAAGTTCCGTCTCGTCTATGTCCGGTGGTGGTGTGCCTAGAACGGCATTCACAGGTCTAGAGTCTACATAACTCGAGACTGACTCCCTGTGAATGCCGTTCAGGGCCAGTCGGTAAGCTGACGGGTCCAGAGGCTGCTTGATGAACCTTTGGACTTCGTCCGTCAGTTCGTATAGATGCCTCCTGACGTGCCTAGGCGAGGGCTCCTCTGCAAGCAGCTGTCTGTTCGGGTGGCCACTTCTGTGGCTCTCGATCAGAAACTGCTTGCAGAGCATTATGTTGTGCTCCTTAATTGGGAGCATTTGTGCCTCGTTGTGAAGGTGATGTTCTGGCGACGGCAGGAGGCATCCAGTCGCTGTCCTGAGTGCGGTGTTCTGTACTGTAGCACTGCGTGCTACTAGTCCCCGGCGACCACACTGGCGCTGCTTAGTTTAAAACCGGCCGGCCTATTGCCTTGTATGTTGCCAGCAACGCTTCTTTGTCTTTGCCCCAAGTGCTGCCGGCTAGCGACTTGAGGACCTTGTTGCGGCTCTGTCCTTTATTGACAATAGCGGTTGCGTGCGCAGAGAAGGAGAGCAGGCTGTCGAATGTTACTCCGAGTATTTTGAGATTATTCACCGTCGGAATTGGTGTATCGTCGACGTGAATTTCAATCGGTAGCCTGACCTCCTTCGTCCAGGTTATGAACAAGGTCGTAGAGGATCTCGTAGGGGAGAGGGCTAGACACTTTGCAGTGAAGAAGCGAGAAAGATCTGAGAGATATCCGTTTACTTTCGAACACAGATCCTAGTCGCCATGATCGAGCAATCGTCGGCGTATGAAACAATCGAGACTCCCTCTGGTGGTTGAGGGAGCTTTGAAATGTAAAAGTTACACAGTAGCGGGGAAAGGACACCACCCTGTGGAACCCCCTGTTTTATTTTTCTGAGTTTACTCGATTTGTCTCTAAACATTACCGACGAGTGTCAACCACTCAGATAATTTGCCGACCACCGTTTGAGCCTCTGTGGGAGAGAGGAAGCCTCTATAAACGCATTTGACAAGTTCAACGCTACTAGAATCGTTCTCTTACAGGGACGGTTACGGTTAAGGCCACGAGTTATCTGAGTATTTATTGCGTTAAGTGCTGTTGCTGTACTGTGCACTTTACGGAAACCATGCTGATGCTTCGCTGGGGTCAGGTGGTTCGTGAAATACGGGAGCAGTAAGGTCTCGAGTGTCTTCGCTACTGGGGAAAGGTGTGTTATCGGTCGATACGAATCTCCTTTGTTGGCAGGTTTTCCCGGTTTGAGCAGTGGGACCACTCTCCCCACCTTCCAGATGTCTGGGATGATGAGAGTGGCCATAGACAGATTGAGGACCTCCTTTAGGTACGCTAGTCCCGCAGGACCCAAATTTTTCAGCATCCGCATGCATATTCCTACGGGACCGATGGCTTGGGAGGCTTTCGCCTTCCCGATGGCCACCTGAACTTCACCGCAAGTGAAAGCAAGGGGGGCACAGGTTGTTGGCAGTTTGTGCAGCCTTCTGGTCACTCGACGTTCGGCTTTGTCCACCGGAGGATGCAGTATGAACTGCCGGCTAAAATAGCTCGCGCATCGCTCCGGATCCGACGAGGCATGGCCGACGAAAGAAATTTCGACTCTGTCATCGTGCTTCGTCGGATTGGACAGTGACCTCACGGTTGACCAAAGCTTACTCACACCAGAGGTGAAGTTACAGGTCTTCAGATGCTCTTTCCACTTCTTCCGCTTATGGACGTTCACTAGTTGCCGAATCTCCGCGTTGAGATCCCTGATACGGGGATCTCCGGGATCGGCCTGACGAAGGCTATCACGCTCATCGGCTAGAACAGCCGCTTCAGCAGAGAAATTCGGACGTGGGTCCGTAATACATCCTGCCGGTGCGAAGCGAGCTGCAGCAGCGGTGACAGACCTGCGGAACTTACGTTCACCAAGGTGGACGTCGGTTGGTGTGGGGAGAGAAGCGAAGGTGTTTTCAGTAAATTCCGCGAAGCCTTTCCAATCAGCTTTAGAAAAGTTGACATAGGTTCGTTGTTCCGCGAGTTAACGTCATAGCCTTACTGCAGGTAGTTAACGACATAGCCTCACTGCAGGTCACGTACACCATGATAAGCGCTTACTTGTAAACAACATCAAAACAATATAACTTGTTTTGACATGCAATATCACGAACTGCAACGGACGAACATTGGAACAATAGAAATGCACTATCACTACAACAAACAATAACAACCCGAATAGTTATCTACTAGTAAACAGTAAACAACCGGCATCTCAATAGTTACTGCGATAACAACCGACGCATCTCAATAGTATAGGTAGCACTAAGATTTATGTAAACAAGTCAGTCTAAAGAATATAGTTAAAAAACACGCACTCCAGCGAAATAAATAAATATATGTTTTTTAGTATCATATCGTAAAGCGATATTAACTGGGGGCTCAACCAAACCTGTAAGCCATCACAATCCATTGAGGAAAGGGATAGGAAAAATTCCACGGGAAGAAGGACTTCCAGCACTATATCTTTGAAAAAAGTGCTTAAAATTCAACAAAGAAAAAATTAAGATTCCTGACAAATCGGAAAAAGAATAACGGATAAGTCTTGATATATAGATAAAACATTCAAGCAACGTTATAGTGAAAACATTCAAGCAACGTTATAGCAACGGACATCACATCACGCTGGATTCGCGGAGAAGGCGACAAGAAAGCTTCAATTTATTACGTCTATCGTTGGTTATAAACTCCGAAATAACAACACAAGAGATCGCAAGCCTGAGAGCACAAATCGCTGCTCTGATCACAACGCTCACTGAAACCCAACAGAGAATGAATTCCTTCGAAGCCTACGCAACACCTAACGTCACAGTCACCAACCAATACCAGGACTGTACACCAAATATCACCGATGCATCACAAATCAACTTAGAAATATTCAAAACATTACCAATCTTCACAGGTGACATGAACTATTATAGGTCATGGAGAAAACGTGCCTGGACACACATGAAAAACATCAAGAATCACGCTACTACACCCACGTATTACACGGCACTCTCGATTGTACATTCGAAAATTGAAGGAGAGGCGGCCGATATTTTAATAAACCACAACACCAAATTCAACTTCTATTCTATAATAAACCGTCTCGATTATACGATTATACTTATGCGGACCAGAGACCTCTGTATGTGTTGCTCGAAGGAATGAAGAGTATAAAGCAGGGAAAAAGGACGTTGGCAGAGTTCCATTGCGAAGTCACTTAATCTTGCACTCACTAAAGTTGAGATGGATAGCTCAGGAAATCCCTCAGCTATGAAAGAATATGCGAACCAGGAAGCTGTAAGGACATTCATTCTCGGTCTGAACAGCAAATATACCAGCGGCATCCTCTATAGCCACAATCCGAAGGACTTGGAAACCGCTTACGCTATCGCAAGTACGATATACCACGATAATGTGAACTCACAATTCGACGTTCCGCAATACAGTCAGCACAGACAATATAATACATCGCAGTATCAAAACCCAAGCAGAAGATATCACGAGGAACCATAAAGGTACAAACCTAACGTGCAGGTGCAATACAATAAAACTGCACCCAGGCAACCGCGCCAACCAATGGACGTAGATCCACCACAGCAATACACGAGATCCGCAAATTATAATAGGAATCATTCCGCACTACAACAAAACAGCTCTGACCATCAAATAATCCATTTCGCGGAGATCCTAAAAAAAGAGAACGAAATCCTTCATCTCGTAATTTCAACATACAACAGAAAGTACAACGTGTAAACCAAACACGCGACGAAGAACTAAAATCGCTTGCACCAGAATACGAAAATGATGATAATGAAACAGGCAGTGCATGCACAATTTGCCGTGTCTGCAACGCCACTACAGGGATACAGGCAAACTTATTAACATCCTGACCGACACTGGAGCAACAAACAATTATATAAGTACAGAATGCAACATCGGTAAGCCTATTCCAATTAAACCTGTAAAAGTGAAAACTCTTCATGGTTACTCAATAACCAAATCAAAAAAAAATAATAACATTGTTAGAACATAATCTCACATTTTTTGAAACAAATGCATTAGAAGAATTTGATATGCTTTTGGGTGAACAGGGACTTAGAAAAATCAAAGGGGAGATCAACCTGTTCGAGTACAAGCTCAGTTATAAATATAGGGCCAAGAAAGAAAGCGAATCCGTACAAAAAATAAATTATACGGTTAATAGTGAAAAATATAGGGCAGAAATCGAAGAAATTATGCAAAAAAAATGAAAGCACAAACGATGTGCTACCATATACTACCGCGATACAAGCTACCATTAGAACGAAATCCGAAGATCCTATATGGACCAAGCAATATCCGTACCCTATGTCGGATAACGACTTCATTAACAAAGAGATGAACAAACTTTTAGAAAATGAAATAATTCAACCCAGCAAAACTCCGTA